AGGGCATATAGGATGTGGGATTTTGTTTTAATGGCTGCCACCCTGTGGAAGGAGCATCGTTCACTAACATGGACGTAACGTTCATGATCTGTTTTCTTTCCAGTGCATTTCCGCTACGTGGTCTTCCATCCCTTCCTGGATGAGATTCTGGTTGGACAGATTAAAAGCTGCAGCCAGGATGGTGTTCACGGTAAACCACAGCTTCTGAGGTTGGGGACACACGAGCTGCAGAGCTCTTGGGTTTGCTGAGGTGTGCGATGACAGGTTGCACAGTGCTGCCTGTGGGCTGGCTGGAGACTGTTGCTGGCCGCTGGTGCTGCTCTCATCTGAGGGTGGTTGGTAGTTCCAGCCTGGCAGCTTCCCCTGCCCTGGATGGTTTTGTCTGCACTCCCTTTCCTTTTGTCATTCATGTGCATGCCCAAGAAGAACAGCCAAAGCCCATCTGGAGCAGAGATGGGTTTCATTGTCTTGCTTCAGCTAACAGAACTTGTTCTTTTTAAAGTGGTAGCAGCACCTTGTGTTGGCCTGATGCATATATTTCATTATCGTTGCAAATTCATTATCGTTTCCTGTACCTGGAAACACGGCAGGAAAATGTCTCTGTGAGCACAAATTGCTGCCAGGTTTGTGGAATACATAATTGATGAGTTGCTTTTCTTTCTTGTAGGAGTCTTCATGCAAACAGCCTTCTTGGTTGTTAAGTTAGGACAATAAGATTATCCTGGCTGCATTTGTTGCAGAATTAGGGCATTTCCACTCAAGATCACAAAATCTCAAGGGGGGGAGGTGGGGATTGTTCTAACCTTTATAGTGGTCTTTATTTAACATGTTACATCTGTGATTTCTAAGCTCTTTTCAGTCACAGACCTCTATAGCATCTGACTCATTTCTTGGAATGCTTTCATTTCCAATCCTGCTCCAAACAGCCCTTTTCTTTCTCAGTGGGCAGGAAGACTGTGTCCTCTATTGCTCTACGTACTTTCGGCTGGGTGGTTGCTTTGCTGCTAACTGAAATTGAGTGTTGGGGCTCAAAGAGTAATTCCTGCATGATCTCAGATGTCCTTCCTGAAAGAGGAAGGAGAATGAGTCCAGAAATGCATTTTAGGAATCGCTGTTGATACGTCATTTGCGAAGAAGCATTTCAGTCTTAATCACAACATTTTCTCCTCAGTTTCTATTGGATTCTTTGATGATATTGTCATCCCACCAGAATCCCTGCAGCAGCCAGCTAAGTTGTATCCTTTGATCACCTTTGATAACTTTGCTACTTCATTTCAAAAGATTGTGCAGTGCTGGCCCAACTGGCATTCACTGCTGCAACAATGAAGGTGCTCAGTGGCAGAAGCTAAGCCCTTGTGTCAGGCGAGCCCCACAGACTGTTATCACAGCTAGACAGGCCTCATGCTTATTAGGTTTTGCAGGATCATTGTTCCCAATGATAGGAATGAATGGCAGTGTCCCCCAAACAACCGCAGTGTAATCCCTGCCTCTAGTCTTGGCTGCTGCTGAAGACAAGAATGCCAGTTTTACCACATCATGTCATGTCTAGATACGTGGTGTGTCTAATGCACTTATTTGTGGTAGGCCAGGTCTTGGAGTTGAGGGTTTTGTTTGGTTTAGGTATTTTGGTGTTTTTCTGGGGGAGCAGGAGTGACCCCAGCTCTGCCCAGCAGCATACACCTTGGAGCAGGAAAATCAGAAACAAGACAGGGGTCCTGGGCTGCACAGATGGTGTCCTAGGACAGTGTGTTGGGGTTTGAGAAATAATTGTGAAAAGGCTTTGAGTCTGTTCCCAAAATGGTCAGAAAGTGAGTGGCCTGTCAGGCAGAATACTGATTGTTTCCATCCTTGACCCTTGGGGTGGGCAGCGACGAAGCAGAGCAGGTGTGGGTATGGGAATACGAGACAGAAGAAGGAGCCCATGATCTTTACATGGACATTGGGGAGGAGATTCGCTTCCGAGTCGTGGATGAAACGTTTGTCGATACATCACCAACAGGCCCAAGCTCTGCAGAGGCCTCCACTTCAAATGCCACAGAAGAAGTCCAGAAGAAAGAAGCACCCTACACTCTCGTGGTAACTACGTGTGCAGTTCAGAGAGCCTTGCGAATATTGTGGTTTGTTCTTTGTCTGGTAGCATTCCTTTCCCAAGGAGCTGATTGCTTTAAGCTGACGGTGAAGCAGGGAGAGTCACAAAATGAAAGGAATGGAAAAGGGGAGAAATGAAGTTGTTCTTGTGGTCACACTGCATTTGCTGTGTGTTCTCATTGGAACACTTCCTGGTGGTTGGTGGAGTTGCCCTGGGAGGCTGATTTAAAGCAGACTGTGGAGGCAGGATCTGCAGGTAGGGAATGAGCATACAAGGAGCAGAGAGTGGGGAGAACCAAATCAGGGCTTACACAGCAGCTGCACAGTCTTCCCCATGCAGTGTTTGGGTGTGAGATCTGCCTGAGTACAACACAAAAGACAGATGGGTTTGAAGCAGTAAGTTCTGTCTTCTCACAGCTGGAGTGTGTCAGGACAGCCAAGAGGTGGAATGGGCAAGTGCTCGATTTTGAAGTGTTGGACATTTAGCATAGTGTTGACAAAATATAAAGGAGTTTGGGCAAGTTCTGGGCAAGCTCTGCTAGGAAAAAACCTGAAATCTCACCCATAACTTGGGGTGAGAGGTTTTATATTTTTATGCATTTACTTCTGTGTTCTTGCTGCAGTTCACAATTGCACACTCTTCTTTCTGTGAACAGGGATCAATCAGTGAGCCAGGCCTGGGCCTCCTGTCATGGTGGACAAACAGTTAGCTGCCATTAGAGCCTGTTCCACAGAAAGTCTTTCCGGTGGATGTTTGGGGGATTGTGGGATCCTGCTGGTGTTCAATGCTCCTCTGAAGCTGAATGAGAAATTAGACCTGCCATTCTCCGTTTCCCCTTCAGCTTCCAACCTGCCAGATCGAGACAGTCGCTTTCAAGAAATGTCTGTGCTGATCTGCAGAAGTGAATTTACAGGCACAGAAAGCCTTGAGTGCAGCAGCAACAAACTCGGCTGGAGCTTTGGTCTCCTGCCCTGGAGGGAAAACTGGGGAGGTCTTTACTTGCCTGAATTAAGAAGGGAGTTAACTTCAATGAGTGAAAGCAGGAGAGAATGCATGTCAAGATGGATCACTCCCTTGGGCTGAGAGCTTCATCTCAGAGGGGTAGAAACCTGCTGGTTCTTTTGACAGGAAATGGAGAAGAAAAACAGCAAAAAAATGAAGCTAATAGGGGTGCAGTACTCTGGAGACCTGGAAAATGCTGCTGCTGGGAGGGCAGGGGAGGTGGTGGTAATGTCTGCAAAGAATGGGAACTTAACCCATGGATGAAATCAGTCAAAGAGAACTCCATGTCAGTGGCTTATCCAAAGGTAGTTTAGGCTCTGTGAAGATGACCACTTTGGAAGGCTACAGACCACTTATTGTGCTGAATGGAAGCACTTCACTGGATGGGCTGCATTCGTGTACAATGAGCTAAACTTTGCAGGAGTTTGACTGAAAATGTACAATTATGAACTGAAACAGACCAAGGCTGCTTCAAGCAAGTTAAATGCTTGTTTGTGGGGGGTGTGTTAATACCAGAAATTGAATAAACAGTGAAAAACACTCAGCCTGCCTTCCTGTACAATTTGTGGGGAAACTCTTAGCTTCCTGCCTAGCAGGAAGAAAAGTTGCCTCCTGCAGTCCAGCTACTTGGATTTCAAGGCAGACAGTGTTGAGACCAACACTTTGCTCTGCTCTAGCTGCCAATAACAAACAATTGCCATCACCCTCCCTGACAGCAGTGAAAGGAAAGGGGGGGACACAAAACAAATCTATGCAGGGCCCATTGCCAAGAGAGTGATGCTGCACATAATTACAAAGCCAGCCGTGTTTGGCAGGAAGGGGCTATAATTCCCCAGGATAGCGGGTCTGCTTAACCTCCCAACTGTGAAAACAAAGCCCGAGTCACCAGTGCCCTCCCTACAGCGTTGTCTGAACTCCTTAATTCTGAACTGCTATTCCTGGTGCATTGCCCTAATTAAAAGGGAGCCCAGAATTCTGCAGGTTCATGGAGTAACTGTGGTCCATCTGCTCAGCCAACAAGCCTGCTGTCTGTAGGGCAGTAGTGCTCAGCCATGCTGTCATCTAGAAAGGGTGGAAATGTTTGCAGAACACCTCTAGCTGTTGGTATAGGTGGAAAGTTGGGTGAAACAAGTTAAAGCCTTGACAGTTGGAGAGGCTTCCGCAGAGTGCTTTGGGGTAGGGCCTGGATGGGGAGGAGAAAACAGCCCAAGGTACCTGCAAGTAGCTGTTGTGCTCAGCTCCCATAGCACAGGGACAGAGCTCCCAGGTGGCAGCTGCAGGGCTTTAAGGTTCTGATCTAATGAGATAGTCCTCAACATCATTCTCCTGTTGTGGAGGCAAGCTGTGCTTGAGGAAATCAGTCCAGTGCATGATGCTAGGGAAGCATATACTTACTTGCTCTTCGGAAGTTTGTCACTGCTGCAGTAGTGGCACTGTCACCTGGGACAGAAAGGCACTGATAGTCACGAGTCTAGCCTGCAGTATGTTAATGTCAAGGGGTAAGCAGCACAAGACAACTGTGAGGGCTCTCTTTTTGCTCTAGGTTTTTGTGCACAGCACTGATTTACAAAGTGAGAACTAGGCTGGTAACATCTCTTATGTCCCACCCTCCCAGCAACAGGGGAATCAGGGGCTGAAAAGTAGGATTATGAATGTAACAACACAAGGCAGAAGATGGTCACATTCTTTATTTTCATTTTATTTCTTTAGACATCAGTAAAATGAATGGGCAGAAAACAACCAACTGAGCAGACAAACCCACCTTAGCCGGTTATTTCCAAATATAAATAACTGTGGGACAAACGAAAATGAGCCAAAATAGAAAAAGGGAGCTGGGGAATTTAAAAGACAAAAGTAAGCCTAGCTGCACTCCCTTTCATAGTGTCACTGAAGAGGAAGTACCATAACAAAAAGGAAGCTATGGTTACATTTGATCAGACATTCCATCAGAAGGCATGGAATTGCACTTTTCATGAAAATGCCAAAGCTGAATCGAGTCCAGTGCATGGGGGGCATTTGTGCGCACTTAGCTTGATTTCTGCTGCAGCTCCTTCATTCTGTTCAGGGCACTGCCAGCCTGAAACCACTCTATCTGTGACTCGTTGAAGGTGTGGTTCAGCATGATTGTTTCTTGGCTCCCATTGGGATGCTTGATGATGCATTTCAGAGGCTAAAGGAAGGAGACAGTTACAGAAAAGCTGAGGAGGGACTTTTTACAAAAGCTTGTAGTGAGAGGACAAGGGCTAATGGATTAAAACTGGAGGGGAGATTTAGGTTAGATGAGAGGAGGAAATTCTTTAGTGGGAAGGTGGTTGTTCAGGGAAGTTGTGGATGCTGCCTCCCTGGAAGTGTTCAGGGCCAGGTTGGATGGGGCTCTGACCAACCTGGTCTAGTGGGAGGTGTCCCTGCCCATGCAGGGGGGTTGGGACTAGATGGACTTTAAGGCCCCTTCCAGCCCAAACCATTCTGTGATTCACTCCTTCTCTTTCAAGGGAGCAAGTAAACTGCAGCTTCCCACAAGAAAATTCCTACATGTTTTTGAAGGGTTGAAAATGTAGTATTATAGCTCGGGGGGGGCGGTGTCTTAACATAAAAGTGTGGATGCAGTTCCTTCTAGGGAGCATTCATGCTTATGGCAACTCCAGGAATTTGGAATGTTGTACCTAGGTTTCTTGTAATGGTTCAGAATAATGTGATCTCATTCTGACTTGCTCCCCACCCTGCCAATCACTGGTGCAGTGTCCCACTGGGCTGGCAAGCTGCCCTGCCCATGGGTGCCTGTGCTGCTTCAGGCCCTGAGCACACAGCTCAACACTATTCCCTGTCAGTGGCACATCCCTCTCCCCCAAACACCATGACAAGACACCCAGTTACCTTTCCAGGTGCGAAGTCTGCCAGCCCCACAATGCTTAGCTTGTCCACAGGATGAATCTTGTTGTAGTCTGCTGGATCAGCGAAGGTGAGAGGCAGTAGACCTTGCTTCTTCAGATTGGTTTCTGTGGAGAGCAAACCACCAAGCATGCTTGTAACAACACGCTGCAGGGGACTGGGGTTACCTTCTTCCTGTCCAGTGCTTCTACGAGTAATATTCCAGCAACAATTACCTTTTTGTCTTTGTAGCAAAATCAGCATGCCCACTGTTCCTGGTGTATCCAGGTACCTAACAGGATTCCTGACAAGAGGGGCCATGCAACCCATCAGCAAACAGGGTTCTTCGTGCCCATCAGTGTTGAGCCCTGGGGCAAGGTGAGCACCACTTCCACCCAAACAAAATGCATCCTGTTTATACACATCACAGGGAACTGGAACTCACCGTGGATCCTGGCAAAGCTCTTGGTGATGATGACCCTGCCACCCAAGTGACGTGGCTCCAATGCTGCATGCTCCCGGCTCGATCCCTCGCCATAGTTTTCATCCCCAATAACCGCCCATTTAACACCCATTTTCTGTGACAAGAGAAACATATTTACATTTCTGCAGTCACTGAAGAGAGGAATTAACAATAAACACCCACCCATGCATTTAATTTCAGCACTACACTACTGACATAGCTGTGCTATGACACCTGCTCCCAGAAGGTTCCCTTTGGTCCTGAGGAAGAACAGAAACAAAGGAATTCAGTGCTTCACAGAAGTTAGGCATTGCCATCCTTCACTAATGAGGGCTGAAAAGGGTTGTCCTGGGACTCAGGGCAAATCCTTGCTACCACCTTTCTTTCCATGGTCCTGCACCAAAGCAGCGTTTACACCAGCCATGATCCCTGCTCCACTTCTGGAAGTGATACGGAAAACTTTAATTTCTGTCTACTGGAGGAAGCAATCTGATACCACTGCCAAGCTGCCCAGAGGGTTAAAGGACATTTCTTGAGGTTCTAAGCCAAGTTTTAAAGAACAAAGAGGACAGGATTTGAATTTCTTTAAATGTTAGTGTAGTCACAGGAGAAACATGCCAGGATGAGAGATTTAGTTGCAGTCTAGTAGACAACCATGCTTTGCAGGGTGTGCAGTGCCTAAAGGAGTTTTTCCCCTTTTGTCTATGATGTCTAGTCCCCTATGGATCACAAGGTCCTCCTCCTTCTTCACTGTAACAGGTAGGGAGAGAATCTCCTGCAGAAACTTCCATCATCAGAATAATTCACAAGAAAAAGCCTGTAACACTGAGTTAATTCACAGCTGCTGTTACTTGGAAGCAGAAGGGCAAGATCCTCCTCTGTCTTGGCACAGACTACCCAAAGTGTGAACATCTCTTAAAATAGATGCATCAGAGGAAAGCCTCACCTTGTAGTAACGGGCTGTGTCTGGGACTGGCCCAAACTCCTGGGTTAACGCATTCCTCACGGAGTTGGCTTTGCCATTTTCGATGTTGATGGCGCCAATGAGCAGGTTGTTGGAGATGTTGTCCAGATGGCCACGGAATTTGAGCCATGGTCCAGCTGCAGAAATATGGTCAGTGGTGCACTTCCCTTTTACCTAAAGCACAGGAGAAGAGAAGAATTTCTTAGGATGGATCATTGACTTGACTCTTCCTCAACACCTTTTCTTGTGAAGGATCCTCACATCTCTTTTTAAAGGCACAAACCCAAGAAAGTTGCATCTGTTACAGAATCAAGGCACCCTAAAGCAGAACACAATTGTCATTCTGCATGTGTAGGAAGAACATCCCTGTTCCAAAGGGTAAACTACAAAAATGAGCTTGGCTATGACACTTCCTGCTATGTCCTCATTTCCCTCAGCAGCAGATTCCTCAGGTACAAAAAACAATTAAGCCCTTCCTCCTACAGCTCAGCCTCCCTGCTGAGGGAGTTAAGCAAGTTGCCAAATGTTTCCTGTAAGTTGCCAACATGCCCATAAGACTTCTCAGCTTGTAAGAACAGAATTCCCAACTGGAGATAATGGCCTGCCAACTGCTAAGTCCCAAAGTGCTTGCAAAGGAATTGCCTGTGTCACAAGCTCTAGCAAAGCTCAGTACGGCCCTTGGGAGTACCTGTAACTCTCTGCCACTGAGAATCAGCAATGATCCTGAAGGAACTGAAGGTTTCATCCTGTTAACTCACCACAGGCAGTGAGAAGAAACCTATGTCTTCATTAAGAAACCAAAATACAGTGGTTTAACTACTGTGAAATAATTTCTCTTTTTATAAAATGTGAAGAGAACACAAATACTGATGGATGAGTAGTTCCTAATGACCTCATTTCAGAAGAATGCATCTTAGAACAGTCAAGTATTGGAAACGCTAATTAAAGAATCTATCCACCTTTCCACTACAGGTTATAAATGGGAGAAATTCTGTAGACTGCATGGTATGTGTAGAATCATATTACAACAAGCTTCATTTTTCATGGTATTAGTTAACCACTAGCCCAAAGGAGAAAAGTCTCTTAGTTATAACAAAAAGAAGTATCAGAATGAAGCACCTGGAAAGAAGACCCTCGCTTCTCTT